CTACGCTAACAAATAATGAAATATGATAGTATCAGTAAATATAAAAAAACAAAGTAGTCGTGAACATCCTGGCTCTTGACTGCTTCAGTTGTTTAATCCTGGACTCGGTCTGTAATTAATAGTAAACTTTTACATGTTAGTGACGTCAAATCTTTAACATGCACGAACGCGATTACGAAGTCCTGCATACACATAGGTGTGACTGTAAAAGATCCCTTGGCAGTTGGAATTGTATATAAGAGTAGGCTAGCGCCGCTGTATGTCGAAACATTCCTCATGGTCCATTCCGAGCAGAAATGAAATGAAATGGGGTTTAACGTCCTACTGTTCTGCTCCTAACCTGGGCTAATGAAGACGGGCATACGCCATACAGTGTGCTATGAGGGAAATTTTGCCCGGGCAGCGGCACTATCGCCTACTCTTATATCGAATTCCAACTGCTAAGGGATCTTTTACGTGCATTCCAATGTATACACGGGACCTCGGTTTTTCGTCTCATCCGAAGGACTAGACAGCGGAAAATCTGGACGAACTTTCTCGGCCAATGCAGGGATCGAACACCATTTCATTTTACTTTGATATTAATATCTATTGCGACATTGCTTTTCGTCCATTTCGCGAAACTGTTCTTTTAACATTTTGCGTAGATCAACTTTATTTTTCGATTCCCTTCTATCGTAATGCGCATGCAAAGAACATGTCAATATCTGAGTTATGCAAATGTCGTCGCCCCCGTCGGTCCGGCTTCCACAATTGCTTGTGGACGCTCTAGAGGCTAAAGTTAATATCTGATTGACTTTAAATTTATACACAGTGTTTAAGGTCTTGAGACGAAGAAGCCTATTGATTTTCAGCAATTTCCGATAATTACTGCCAGAGTTATGGCCCTTGATCTCTTTGAAAAATCTTGTGGACGCTCTAGAGGCCAAAGTTAACATCCAATTGACCTTAAATTTATACAAAGTGTTTGAGGTCATGAGACGAAGAAGCCTATTGATTTTCAGCAATTTCCGATAATTACTGCCAGAGTTATGGCCCTTGATCACTTCAAAAAATCTTGTGGACGCTCTAAAGGCCAAAGTTAATATCCGATTGACTTTAAATTTATACACAGTGTTCAAGGTCATGAGACGAAGAAGCCTATTGATTATCAGCGGTTTCTGATAATTACTGCCAGAGTTATGGCCCTTGATCACTTCAAAAAATCTTGTGGATGCTCTAATGGCCAAAGTTAATATCCGATTGACTTTAAATTTATACGCAATGTTTAAGGTCTTGAGACGAAGAAGCCTATTGATTTTCAATGATTTCCGATAATTACTGCCAGAGTTATGGCCCTTGATCACTTCAAAGAATCTTGTGGATGCTCTAGAGGCTAAAGTTAACATCCGATTGACATTAAATTTATACACAGTGTTTAAGGTCATAAGATGATGATGCCTATTGGTTTTCAGTGATTTCTGATAATTTCTGCCAGAGTTATGGCCCTTGATCACTCTGAAAAATCTTGTGGATGCTCTAGAAGCGAAAGTTAATATTTGATTGACTTTAAATTTATACACAATGTTTAAGGTCATGAGACGAAGAATCCTATTGATTTTCAGCGATTTCCAATATTTGCTGCCAGAGTTATGGCCCTTGATCACTTTGAAAAATCTTGTGGATGCTCTAGAGGCCAAATTTAATATCCGATTGACTTTCAATTTATAGACAGTGTTTAAGGTCCTGAGACGAAGAAGCCTATTGATTTTCAGCGATTTCCGATAATTACTGCCAGAGTTATGGCCCTTGATCACTTAAAAAAATCTTGTGGATGCTCTAGAGGCTAAAGTTAATATCCGATTGAGTTTAAATTTATACACAGTGTTTGAGGTCATGAGACGAAGATTCCTATTGATTTTCAACGATTTCCGATAATTACTGCCAAAGTTATGGCCTTTAAGTTATCATCCGATTGATTTCAGATTGATACACAGAGTTTAAGATCTTGAGATGAACAAGTATATTGATTTTCAATGAATTTTTATGACTTGAACAGTTAAATCCATGATATTAAAAGCTTTGCATACAAAACGTTAGCATGGGGCAGAACTTTATAAAAACTAAACAAATTCTAATAGTTTTCTGATAATTACTTCGTGAGTTGTTGCTCTTAATCAGATTTTAGTGTATTATAAATGTTTCATTACCGAAAAAAGTAAAAATATGCGACAACCCTTGTTGACTGCCCGGACGATTTAGTTGCTGTGGGCGTATGTTTCGTTGCCTGGCAACCTATCTTTATTTGGGGGGTTGGGGAGTGTGTGTTTGTTTAGGGGGTGAGAGGTGGGGATAGTCTTTTGTCATGCATTTAGCGATCGCGATGCCTTGGCACGGTGAAAGCCTTCAGTCTTGCAAGCAAGTCTAGTGATGATTGTTTTTACCAAAAAAAAACAATCATCCAACACGTTGACAGTTTTATTTTCCACTTGAGCATATCCCAGAAACTACTTGGCGGATCTGTATGATATCTTTGGTTTTACAGGAAAGTCAGCATGACTTAGAGATAAAACCTATTTCGAACTTTCTGTGACAATGCGAAATGTCCGAAATCGCCGAAGTTGTCGTTTTTTTAATGTCGCCGTAATATTTACAATAATCGACGGATTTTAACATTTGGTACATTTTGACATAGCCGGAGACAGGGCAAATAGCTACGGTACTTCAGATTTTTGATTTTCGACGAATCTTTGCTTATATTAGGCACGAAATTTTGAAAATTTAAATTTTTACAAAAAACTTTTTTATTAATGAAGATTTTTTGATGGTATTTTACACAGGATTAAATGGTCATCTGACTTGAGCAAAAATGTGTACAATTCTTGTCTCAGTAATTCGGGTTAGTCGCCATTGACTAATTCAGTTCTTCGATCCTAAATTAATTATTTATTGTTTGATTTGTTTGAAACAAAGTTCATATGCTCCGTTTTCCAAAATGTCATTTTTTTTGTTACCGATAAAGTTTCCTGTTGGCAACGGGAGTGACATAATTTTACCAAAAACTACAATTTTGACAGTTCGGTACCATTTTTGGAAAGCAAATATTATTTTTTCAAAATTTGATATTACCAAAAGATACGTCATGCAAAGGCGCACAAATCATCGGACTCAGTTTTTTTAATTTCGCTTTCGTTTTCGGGCTATTTCGATTAAAAGGTGAAAAAAGGTGTAAAATTAAGCTATTTACAACCCATTCAGTGTCTTCATTTTTTAGAATATTTCTTCGTAACTTTCTTAATCTCGTAGCAATAATCCATACGAAGAGAATGTATGTGAAATAGGCAAGTTTGCATGCGTCATTTTTCACATTATTTTGCCTGTAAAAGAGTCAAATATTATTCGATTTTCACCGTGGGATGCCTTATGCCATTTATGATTTCATAGAGAGAGAGAGAGAGAGAAATGAGGTTTAACGTCCACTCGACACAAACTAGGTCATTTCGGGACTAACATATGGTTTAATTTTATTTCAATAATTCGCTTGCGCGTAGGGGTCTTTAGCAGTGGGAGGAAACCGGAGGACCCGGAGAAAACCCACGAGGTTGGACAGGCGACTTTACTCCTGTCGACTCAATGACAGGCTTAATGATACAGCGCGTGCACGCTAACCATTCAGTTACCCAACCCCCCTGATTTCATAGAACTAATTTAACAATTTCATTATCACCGGAAGTAATGTCATTTGGGCAAAAACTGTATTTTTAGCTTTCAAAACAAATAATCTTTTTGAAGTGAGTTATATTTATTATCCGTTTAACAATTTTGATATTTGATTCCAATGGTCCAATGGACATATCGATTGGATTAATACGATCATATAGATGTCCAAAAATGGCTTCTAGTATCTTCCCTTGTCGAGAAATAACCAATTTTGTCAGGATGACTTTTATAGATTTTTTTCCCATTTTAATTTGCCATTAGAAAGTTAGCTAACTTATCGGTAAGTTAGTAATAAATTTTGTCAGGATCACTTTTTTGACATATGTAACACATGGTAACAAATGTATAGATGCAATTGATATTGCTAGATTTGGTTGATTCTGCGTCTATTTGTGCAATGCTTATGTGGAAATCTGTTTAACGGTTTTATTGATACCAGAAGTGACATAAGTTCACTGATAACGTGGCACCAGAAGTGACATAAGTTCAAGGGTAACTTGGCACCGGTGAAACCCGTCATCACTGCTTTGCAGTTCTAGTTTACATTTTAATTTTGTTCTATTTTGATTTTATCTTCGTGATGATGCTCTGATAGTCTATTGGTTTTATCCTTTGACAGCAATTCAGCTTACATACTAAAAATAATAAAGTACCCATTGTTCGTTCCCGGTGTTGACCAAGAAAATTCATCTCGATTTTCCGGCGTGGTTTACCCTTGTCAGTGAGTGGTGCAGAACATAGGGCCTGGCAAGGACAGCTGCCTAGTCGTTCGGATGGAAAGAATAACTGAGGTCCCGTGTACACATTGGCGTGCACGTAAAAGTTCCCTTGCCAGTTGGAATTGGATATAAGAGTAGGCCTTAGCGCCGTTGTCTGGGCAGAATTTCATTAGCCCAGTCCGACTCAGAGCAGTACAGTAGGACGTTATATTTCATTTCTATAATATTGGGAGCCCCAAAGACTCAGTAAGTGTTGGTTCGCTGACATGGACACCCTGTGTTTGATTTCTGCATTGGCTGAGAAAGTTCATGTGGATTTTCCGTGGTGTAGGACGGAGGGCATGGTGGTATAGCAATATCGTTCGGATAACAGAAAAGTACACATTGGCATGCACATTTAAAAACGCTTGACTGTTGGAATTCGATGTAAGAGTAGGCCATAGCACCTCTGTCCAGGCAAAATTTCCCTCGTAGCTCATTGCATGGCGTTTGCCTGTTTTTATTAGCTCAATTGGAAATTAAAACCCATTTAAGTTTATTTCATGTATATAATATTGACAATAACAATTGTTAAAATTTTAGGCGTTTAGTCCTGAAAAAAGGAAAGCAGAAAAGAGGCTTCAGATTTAACATTGTCAGCAATAAGGTAATTTCTTGTTCTTGTAAAACTCTATCGTGGGTTTTTCCGGGTCCTCCTGGTTTTCTTCCACTGCTAAAGACTCCCAATGCGCAAGCAAATCATTGAAATCCGGGTCCTCCTGGTTTCCTTCCACTGCTAAAGACTCCAAATGCGCAAGCAAATTATTGAAATAAAATTGAACCATGTGTTAGTCCCGAAATGACCTAGTTTGTGTCCAGTGGAGGTGTATTTATGAAACTTCATGACATTTTGTTGTAAACTTGCATCTAGAACTGCCTTCAGTTTGTTGATACTTTGATGGTAGTGGTGGTAATTTGTAATTTTAGTTAATTTATGTCCACTATGACTAAATTCATTTATTAAAGAAGAATATTTACCATTATTCTTTCAGGTCCTGGGATTCCAATTAGTTGACTTTTTTTGTACAAAACTATTAAAAAGAAGAGTCAAGAAAAACTCTTTATTTGCAATACCTGAGGAAGTGTTACATTTACCATATCTACAGAATTGCACCTTCATGTTTGTAATCTCGACAATTTATATGCAACATTTTGTTGAAAGAATCCTCAGTATTTATTGTGATGAACAAAATAAATATTGGCTGTCAAGAGGCAAATTGTATGTTGACCAAATATGAAAAATAAAGTTATACATGTTTCAATCACCGATTTTTGTAATGCCTCTTTTATTTTACAAATTAAGGCCACAACCTTTTCTGCAGTATGGGGAAGTGCTGCATTTGTGCATTTGGGGCCAATCTGATAAAAGGAATGAAATGGGGTTTAACTTCTTAGGTTTTTTTTGCACCGACCGAGTTTATTAAGACATGTATACATCATGCAGTGTGATATGATTGAAATTTTGACTAGACAGCGGCCCTGCGGAATACTCTTATCTCAAATTCCAACGTGCACATGCCTCCCTCCCCCCCCACGTCCTACTGTGTAGGCGAATTTTTTCTGTAACACTGTTAGTTTGAAAGTTTAACACTTGTATGATAATTAAGTCATAATACAGGAGTTACTCTCTGTCTCAAGACCAACAGATCGGGTACAACCTGGACATGAATTAATGGGGTTTAACGTCCTAGTGTGCAGTTCCACCAATCTATAGAAAAACCTGTTGTGAGAACCAATCTGAAAATAAATTCTGCTGTGATGGCTATTCTGAGGAAAAATTCTGCTGTGGTGGATAAATCTATAATTCCTGTTGTAGTGGATAATCTAAAGAAAAATGCTTCTGTTGGGACCAGTCTATAGAAAGTCCTGCTATGAGGACCAATCTGAAAATAAATTCAGCTGTGGTGGCTATTCTGCCAAAAAATTCTGCTGTGATGGATAAGCTAACTAAAATTCCTGCTCTGATGAATAATCTAACGTCAATTAGTGCTGTTGGAACCAATCTATTGACAATTGTGCTCTGAGGACCAATCTGAAAACTAATTCTGCTGTGATGGCTATTTTGACGAAAAATTCTGTTATAAACGATAGTCTAACAGAATGCTTAAAATCAATAGGCTTCGTGCTCTCATGATCTCAATTCTTCACACCAAATATGAGAAGAATCCATTGAAAACTATAGCCTCTATCACTAGGGTTCGTTCGTCCTGTCATTACCATGATGCTTCACACCAAATTTGAAAAGAATCCGACAACAACTCTAGCCTCTATCACGTTGACAGATGATGACATAATACGCCCAAATTTCACATATGCCCACACTGAAATGTGGGCGCAGAAAAAAATATAACCTCTATAGGGTTAACAAGGTTTTTGGAAACTCTGGTACAGAAGGTTGTGAACACTGAATATCGATAGAGTTCTTCTTGTCATGACCATAATGCTTCTAAACCAAATTTGTAGCCTCTATCCCGTTCACAAGCCACTTGTTGACAGCTAGATGACGGCATAATACACCCAGGGCTGAAATGTGAGCAAAAAGATTTTGCTTATGCTTTTGCGCAATTTTGATTTGAAATTGAACAAGAAGATGCAGTATTCAACATCACACGTATTGCAAGGTACATGGAAAGACAATTTCTCCATTATTGATAATCAGCAACCAAATAGTATAGGTGTACATGTTATAAGATGTACAGCAAATAGAATCAGGCAACCCAATTATGGTATTTGGTTGTGTTGCAAGTTTTAAACAAAATCTTGAATATCTGAGATGTGATTAGGAACAATAACTGCATACCAAAAACTATCGTAAACACCCAAGTATAACACGCCGCATGCATGTAAAATTTACAGTTCATCATCTATAGGAACGGCAATATTTCTGATGTAGCCTAGTTATCTAATGCAATGTTTAGAGCTGATGAACTGATTTGAAATAGGCTGTCTCAAATCAAGAAAGAAATGAAATGAAATGGGGTTTAACGGTTAAAGTCCTACTATTCTGCTCCGAACTGGGCTAATGAAGACGGGCCTACGCCATACAGTGTGCTATGAGGGAAATTTTGCTAAGACAGCAGCACTACAGCCTACTATTATATTGAATTCCAACTGTCAAGGAATCTTTTACGTGCACGCCAATATGCACGAGACCTCATTTTTTTGTCCCATCCGAATGACTAGACAGCTGTCCTTGTCAGGCCCTCAGTCCTGCATCACTGACAAGGGGAACCACGCCGGAAAATCTGGATGAACTTTCTCAGCCAAATGCTGGGATCGAACACGTGACCTCCAGACTAGCGAGCCAGCGTCTTACCCACTTAGCCACCGTGTTAAACAATATCAATTTGTTTATTGAAAAATTCACTGTTCATCATTAAGTAAACACATAAATAACACAAGACGTATGGGAATGGCAATATTTCGTCAATGGATTATCTGATGAATTTATTTGAGGATAGCAACGTAAAGAGTGGAAATACACTCACAGAGCAGCATTGTCTCAACTGCAGCTTAACGGAAAGGAAAACTTGGATGTGGATTAAATTTGATCGTTCCAGAATATAATGTTGCAGAATGCTTAATATCAATAGGGTTCATCCTCTCATTATACTTCCCAGCAAATTTGAAAGAAACCTATTAATTATTATTATTATTACAGCATATTTATAGTGCGCCCTTTCATATAACATGTTCAGGGGCACTTTACAAAGTGATAAATAACAAGATTATGGACATGTTAACATTGTATACAGAGTCAGTTAAAAGCCTGATTAAATAAATGTGTTTTAAGTTGTTTTTTAAGAGAATATAGAGATGTACAACATCTTAAACTAAATTGTAGATTATTCCATAAAACAGGTGCTTGATAACTAAAAGAGTGCTGACCATAAGAGACTAATTGAACAGTTTTGGGCTTTAAAAGTAGTTTATCTGATGTACGTAATGTTCGGCCAGGTGTATAAAGTTTTAAAAGATCTGAGAGGTAAACAGGAAATAAATTATTTAAACATTTAAAAGTAAGTAATAAAATCTTAAATCAATTCGATATTTAACATGTAACCAGTGTAAATTATATACTACCAGACACTCATTAATTATTCAGTATAATCGATCTGTTGGCGACTATGTATACAACTCTATAACACCAATCATGAGATTACGTGGCTTCTATTCACTGTAACCCAGGTATCGTTTAATCTTGTGTATCTAGCACTAATTTCTTTCACATTCAGTTTAAAGCTGACTGATTAATTTTGATGAGTGTCCAATTTACAAGTATTTAATTTCCTGTTCACTGTTCAAATATTAATCATTATACATCATTAATCAATTGGGTTGTTTATTTTTTAACAATGATTGAGAAATTAAACACTTGTAAATTGGACACTCATTATCAAAATTGAATGGTCAGCTTTAAACTGGACAGAAGTACAAATTAAACGATTTATGGTGATTTTAAACAGTTTTTACAAATTTTTAAACAAATATTTGATATTAAACGAATGTGAAAGAAATTAGTGCTAGATACACAAGATTAAACGATACCTCGGTTACAGTGATACGTGCCCATTATTCTGCACTGACGTACCAATTCACAGTTACATAGTGGAGATCGATCGTAGCCATGTTTGAAAACTGGGTTTAGAAACAAAGCCTTTTTTTCCGGCCTGCAAAATGACAGATGGGTCAGATCTAGTAACAGTCATTTTCCATAGCCCTCGGTACCGACCGGCATATACGACCGACGTGGAACCCATGGTTCAAACTCTCATGACCCAAATAAAATCCGCCAAAAAGTACAGCCTCTATTGTTTTCACAAGGTTTTCTGCAAAGGGGGTTAACTCTGGAAGGGTACACTGAATATCGATAGGGTATTTCCTCTCATAACCACAATGCTTCACACCAAATTTGAAAAAAATCAATCAAAAACTGTTGCCTCAAAAGGATTTCAACAACAGGGGGGGGGTTAAATCAGAAAAGAAATGTCGCAGATAGCTGCATATTGATAGGGTTCGTCCTCTCATGATCGTAATGCTTCCAGCCAAGTTTGAAATATATCTGTTAACCAGCGGCTGCCAGGCAGGATACGCCCACATTTTCGAGAGATGGATAGAAAACAAGCTAAAACGAAAGTGATTTTTCCTACAATCAAGGGCCATAATTCAGGAAATTACAATTTGATATGCACAAATATCGAAAGGAACCAAGATCTTTGAGTTATAAACTTACATTTCAAGTTTCAACAAAATCGGATAAAAATTGTGACCTCAAAAGGGTCCACAACCTTGATATACCATATTTTTACGCAAGAGTGGCGGCCATTTTGTCTGTCAGTTTTGGGCCGATTTTCACGAAAATTCAAACTTAGCCGTCCTTAGGGTGTAACGGTTATATATTAACAAGTTTTTTTAAATCGGATAAAAATTATGACCTCTACAGGGTACACAAGCAAAAAAACGTGTTTTTGCGTACAATCAGGGGCCATAATTCATGAAGTTAAGGTCCGATATGCGCGAATATTGAAAGGAACCGAGATCTTTGTGTTATAAACTTACATTTCAAGTTTCAACAAAATCGGATAAAAATTGTGACCTCTACAGTGTTCACAAGCCAAAAACGTGATTTTTCGTACAATCAGAGGCCATAATCCATGAAGTTATGGTCCGATAGATGCCAATATCGAAAGGAACCGAGATCTTAGGGTGATAAACCCATATTTCAAGTTTCATTGAAATCGAATAAAAATTGTGACCTGAAGACTGTTCACAAACAATTGTGGACGGACGGACAGGGGCGACGACAATATACATCCACATGAAAATGTGGGCGTATAAAAAATGTAGCTTACATCGCATCCACAAGGTTTTTAGCATAGTGGGGGTTATTAAAGCTGATTAACCGCTAACCACAATGACCTGTAGAGAGTCCACAACCTTCGTATTATATACTTTTATACAATTGCGTATAAGGAATGACCATTTTGTCGGGGAGTTTTGTTTTGATTTTCTCGAAATTCAACCTCAACATTCATTTTGGTGTAACGGTGCTATATTTAAATGGTTTTTAAAATCGGATAAAAATTGTGACCACTTAAAGATCCACAAGTTAAAAATGTGATTTTTTTTACAATCAGGGGTCATAATGGAGTAAGTTATGGTCTGATATGTGTGAATAACAAAACAAACCGAGATTTTGGGATATTAACACATTTTTTTAAGTTTCATCAAAACTGGATAATAATTGTGACTCTAGAGGGTCCACAA